GCCCATGACCTGAGTCAAAATCAAGAGTCAGACACTTAACTGACTGAGCCACTCAAGTGCCCCTAATAACTTTTTAAAAATGTTAAGTGATTTTTATGATTTTCTGTCAAGGCTTTATTGTTGGATGAGAAACCTTAACCATTATACACACACACATACACACACATATACATATACAGATATGTAATGATATATATATATTATTCTCTCTATATATACCATTATATAATATATAATTATTTCCTAAAACTACCATATACAGATCAAACATTAAAATAATCCACATTTCTCATTAGATACAATATTTTATGATTATTGAAAACTTTTGTATACATTTTCCTTTGAAATTCTTTTTGCCTAAAGTAACTCATTAAGTTTAGGATTAGCTATAAATTTTCTGGAACTATTGTATATTCTCAGGAGTTTTTGCATGTGACCAAGTTCTAGCTGATGTTGTATAAGTGTTGACCCAGGGCAACTCCCAGAAATCTTCCATGAAGGGCAGCTAGCAGAATCCCTTTGTATCTACATTTTCTTCCTTTATTCCATCCACCAACCGGAATGTGTATTCTGCCTTATATTATGAGACCAAAGTGACTGTGGAACAGTGAGCTGAATGGAGCCTGGAAATTCCCAAATGTTTTTGTAGAGCAGAGTCGTCACTTCTCCCACTGTTTAGTGCATTCAGAAATAAACGATTTGCTCATACCAAACCTAATATTAACTAATGCATCTCATCTTCATGTTCCCATCAGATGCACTCTTTAAAAAATGTACATAAAATTCCAGGAGCCCATTTTTTCAGTTATTCTAAAGTACCAGCCAGAAAGGCAAGTCCTACTTTCAACCCTATTGTTAATAGCCAGGTGTCTACTTTCATACCTTTTTTTTTCCCCACTTCTAAAGTCATGAGATTAAAGCAGAAGAAGAAATGAAAACAACGCCTGTGCTCTCATGTCTTTCATGTTCCTATTCAGAACTTCAGGGTCACTAGGGATCTGCAGTTTCTTCTGGTGCTGTCATTCATTCCCACATGTGTCAGCATTCACTTAGCTCAATGAATCTTCACCAATTCTTCTTTGTCTTGATATACATGTGAGGAATATCCAGCACCCCCCCCCCAAAAGCTGTCTCCAACCTGTGTTCCATTGCTTTCTAGTTAGGGAACGACCTAATTTCCACTAGTTTTTCTCCTTATTGCTACAGGAAGCACGAGATGTTGTTGCCAATGCTTCTGAAAGACCAGACTCACCATTGTTGGTTAGAACAGCAAAACTATTCATTTCAAAAGAAAACAATTTATTGGGCACTTAACTATGCTTAGCATTCAGCATGTATGTTATCTTTCCCTTCTACCTCAATCTGTTCCTTTTGCTATATTCTTAATGATAGTTTGGATTCCCGAGACTCTTTCGAATTTTTTCTTTCTGGCTTCCCCTCTGATTTATTTTTTTAAATCCTCTCTAAAAATGCTTATCTTCTCTAATAAGCTGTAGCAGAGAAAAAAAAGGATATCTTAAGCCTTTTCACTTTCACATCTAGCCAAGAAAAGCAACTTATATTTATATTACACATGATTGGTCACTATTGAGACAGAAGGACAAAAACAACAAATGTGTCCCAAGTCACTCCAAATAGTTCTCCTGGTGTCCTTACATCCTGGATTTTTCCCCAGCAAGCTGTTGAGTTCCAGGAAGCATTTCTTTTAATTCTTTCTGGCTGATGCCCTGGTAGCACAGAGGATCAGCTAGAAAGTGGAGCATGGCATGAACCACCTCGATGTCAAACAGAGCTTCTTTCAGCAAATATGATAGAACACAAACACTCAACACATATTTGACAGCAATGTTTAAAATTACTTTTATCCCATTTACTCATTCCTTTTGCTATGCCCATTTCCTCAACTTCTAGACCCAATGGATGTTGAGGCTAAAGCATAAGGACAGGAGTTGGAGAAGGCAAGGATCATTTCAAACCTGGCTAATTTTGAGAACAAGTACAAGGAGAAAAGTTAGGGAGATGCTATGTTTACTGGAGTGGGACTGATAATGTGGTTGAGTTTTATGATGACACTGAGTTTAAAGTGATGGCAGTTTTCTACATCTTGTTCCTAAATCTGTCAAGCACAAATCACATGTGACCTAAATCCACAATGAAATTCTAGCTGTGCTAGATGTGTAGGATTAACAGAATTGTTTGTTAATAATAGAAAATAATTTTGCATAGCATCACAGTATTTCAGAAAATATCAGACATTTAACAATGTGGTAATAATATGTTTTTTCACTTTCTTTAGTATTTAATATTCACGTAGTGTTCCCAGTGTTAAAGAGGAAGATCTGTAGGTGCCATTTGAAGTATCCTCACATGTGCTCCCCTAACACTGCTTCCCTCTTTAATCTATAGTCTACAACCACATGCTAGAATTTCATCATTTTCTATGCTTTCATCACAATATTGAGGTCTTCAAAAGATGTACCAAATCATAAGCAGGTCTTAAATTTTACTAGCGGCAATGATTTTAAGACGCAGTGAAGGATAATTATTATTTATGCTATTACCTTCCTCTCTTGATAAAGTGGAATCATTGAACTCTATGAATGGACTGTGGAAATGAGAATTCTTTTGTTTTATGTGAATAGATGGTTCCTCAGTTCTTTTTCCTTATCAGTGTTTTTCATTAAAATTTTTTTTAATGTTTATTTATTTTTAGATACAGAGAGACAAAGCGCAAGTGGGGGAGGGTCAGAGAGAAAGGGAGACACAGAACTCGAAGCAGGCTCCAGGCTCTGAGCTGTCAGCACATGGCCAGACGCAGGGCTTGAACTCAAAAACTGCAAGTTCATGACCTGAGCCGAAGTCGGATGCCCAACTGACTGAGCCACCCAAGTGCCCCTGCATTTTGAATTTGCTTATTATGACTTCCTAGACTCATGAAAGATTGAAAGATAATGGCAATATATTTTATCCAGAAGCTTCTCAATTGTATTATTATTATCAACTACTTATGAAGGCATAGCTTAATTGTGACCAAAATCTTGGTAATTTAGGTTATTTCATTTGTTTTGCCAGTAGCTGCTGCAAATGAGGTCTTTGACTACTCTTCATCTTCCTTTTAGTAAAATCAGGGTGTTTAATGAAATAGTTTATTGAATTCTTAATGACACTGAATAATTCAATTCATAAGTCATTGTTTAGATCTAGAGACAGAAAGCTATTTTTCCTATTCTGACTCGAGAAAGGGAATAAAAATTATGCTATTAAAAACCAAATGATTTGTTGGTCTGAAATGTTAGAATGAAATAAATATTCTTATAACTCATATAGAATTTCTTAGAATTGAATATATTTTACTGCTCCACATTCTTCAAATGCAAATAGAATCGAAAGGTTTTCTTTTCTTTTAATTAAGATGTGTTTGCTGTTTATATTCAATTTTAACTTTTGGAGTTAAGAAATGAGGGCTGCTTTCCTTAATTTGTGTCCTCAAATTACTCTAGGGTTTATATATTCTGACAATACTTCATAAATACTTTAAAAGATTACTCCTTTGCACTTTCTTCACAGACCCAAGTCTATACGAGCAGCCTAAGAACTCTCAACTGGATAACCTCTGGCCAGTGCTAGCATGCCATAGTATGCTGAGAAAATGGCCTATATGTAGCATATGTGTGAAACAGATGACAAATAATAGCTAGGCTACATTAATCCTAATAAAGTGGGTATCAATTTTATTCTCCAGAAAGGAAAAAATTAAAGTGAAAAGAATAAATAAGAGGATGAAGCAAAGGCATGGAATAAAAAATCAGATTTTCCTTCAATTAAGTGAATATTTTCAAAAACAGCTTTTAGAGACTTGATTTTATGCAGATAGTTTTCGCTTGTAATTTTCTTTGCATATTGTTAGACACAGGAAAGAGGATGTCTCTTGGTTACACCTTCATGTTGAGATTATAATTAACAGCAGTTATTTAAAGAAGTCTGCTAAACTTTTAATTCCTATGTTGTTTTAAAAAATTTCTTGAGATTTTACTGCATTTATAGGAGTCATTAAAATACAGCATTGGAGGAAAAGATACATAATAAAAGAAAATAGCAGGTTAATATTCTTGTGGTAACTATACATGTTAAACAATTCAACAAAGATTAAATTGTAAAAACAATTTCAACAAAGATTAAAAATCAAAAAGCTATAAAGTTATAAAATATCAGATAAGCAAGATTCATAATTTGGTTTTAAATAGTCTTTCATGTATCAAAACACTCACTGTCACTTTAAAATATTTAATCTCTTAGGGCAGTAGGTTCTGTTACCATCATTTACAATTGCTTTCATTGATTTTTATTCAATTATAGTACATTCAAGAGATTTTTTGTTAGCAGTAATTTTTAAAATAAAGTTTAAGAGAAAAGTAAAGATTGTTAGCTTATTATATATTTTCATGGTATTACATAATGATTAAGAGGCTGGCTGTCTGGGTTCAAATTTCACTTCTGCTACTTACCAGCTGAGAGAATTTGGGCAAATTATATAACTTCTCTGTGCCTGGGCTTCTTGATCTGTGAAACAGGAATAACTAGAGTACTTGCCTCATAGCCCTAGTGACAGGTCGATGAGTTAATACAAGGGAGTCTTGGAATAATTCTTATCATGTGCTATGAAATCAATAAACCGTAGCTGTTATCAGATGATTATTATGATGGTAAATTAGAAGTGTAATTGTGGGGAAGAAAAAGCTAAGTTCAAATATATGCCTATTTCTTTGAATCCAGATATCTTTTTCTACAAAATAAAAAATAGTCTGAACTTCCCATGTGTAATAAGGACTACCCTGGTATTGGCATGTGTAATATGGGTAGGTGGTCTCAGGTTGAGAAAATACGCACATTAATGATTTTAATAACTTTCAACTGAAGAAGAAAAAAGAACAAATGGTCATTCTTTGATGATCTGCAAAACTGAGTGAACAACTGACTTATCTTTCTGTGATTCCCTGCAGATATCATGGAAATCAGGACAGTGGCTGTTGGTATTGTGGCAATCAAAGGAGTGGAAAGTGAATACTACCTTGCAATGAATAAGGAAGGAAAACTCTATGCAAAGGTATTGATAATTGATAGCTTAGACTTAATTTTTCAAACTTATTTTTGTCAAAAACATCTTGCCTTTCTGGAAAATAAAAATGGAACTAATTTCTCTTCGATTATATAATTTAATGATTTCATTAAAACACTTCATATTCAAGCATTGAGAAAAAGAATGTTTTTTGCAGGACCTTGGGCAAATTGCTTAAGGTCTCTAGGCTTTGGTGTCTTCATTTGTAAAATGAATTACGCTAACCAACTTCTTAGGATACTTCCAGCTTTAAAATTCCATGTGTGCTTTAGGCGCTTAAAATCTAAAATTTCCATCTGTCAGTAGTATTAAAGCTCTTTTTGTTAAAGTTCACCTAATCTGCACATTGCTGACATGAAATTTCTTGGGAAAAAAATTCAGAAGTTTGTTTATAAACATCAATCTCACAATCACGGCCTTTGAACTGTGAGCATTCACAGTGTTCCCGCTTTATTACAATGTGAAATATGTAACAGTTCATCCCACCATAATAAAATATAATTGAGTTTTCTTTGTATTCCCATTGCCCAGCACAATACCCGGCACAGGCTAATTACATAATCATCTAGGTTTAATTGAATGAATGCATGAATGAATGGTTGGATGGATGAACAAATAAACTTAAAATCTATCACCATTGCAGGCAGTTTGGTAGCACATGAAGAGAAGTTGTGAAATATGTTTTTCAGCTGAGGGAAGCAGACACTCTGCTAATTACATAAAATTCTCAGCAGTTAGGGAATGAGTGATTTGAGCATGGTAATATCAGAGCTGCTCATTAGGGGGAAATAGCTCCTCATACTAAGGAATTGTAGAAACGGACTGCCAAAAAGTTAGATGTTTGAAACCGTGTTGCATAACTAAATATGTATCACTTAATCTTTTTAAAATATTTTAAGATGTCTATTTTCTTTTTGCAAATATGCTAACCTATATCTAACACACGGCATTAGGTCCGCTCAAAAAAATATGTCATATATGATTTAATTCTACTAAGGATTACTGCTTACTCTTTGCTTAATTGAGTACCTCTAAAAATCATTTGGATAATGTTGTTTATCGTTTTAACAGAAAGAATGCAATGAAGATTGCAACTTCAAAGAATTAATTCTGGAAAACCATTACAATACATATGCATCAGCTAAATGGACACACAGCGGAGGAGAAATGTTTGTTGCTTTAAATCAAAAGGGGGTTCCTGTAAGGGGGAAGAAAACAAAGAAAGAACAAAAAACAGCCCACTTTCTTCCTATGGCAATAACATAATCATACATGGTATATAAGAAACCAGTTCCAGCAGGGAGATTTCTTTAAGTGGACTGTTTTCTTTCTTTTCTTTTTTCTTTTCTTTTCTTTTTTTTTTTTTTTAAGTAACCGAGAAAGGCTGGAAAACTACTGAAAAACTGATCAAGCTGGACTTGCGCATGTATGTTTATTTTAAGAGACTGCATTAAAGAAAGATTTGAAAAATATACACAAAAATCAGATTTAGTAACTAAAAGTTGTAAAAAATTGTAAAGCTGGTTGTACAATCATGATGTTAGTAATAGTAATGTTTTTTCTTAAATTAATTTACCATTAAGAGTATGTTAGATTTGATTATCTGATAATGATTATTTAAATATTCCTATCTGCTTATAAAATGGCTGCTATAATAATAATAATAATAATAATAATGCAGATGATGTTATATAAGATATGTCAGACCTAAAGGCTGCTGGAATGATTTGTCAGATAATCAAGCCAACACTAACTATGGAAGATGAGCAGTATCTGAAAGGCTTTTTAGTGAAAATTGTAGGCCACTTAAATTCTAATCAGAAAAGAAAGAATATTTTCAAAAATTCTATTATGGAATGGAGTCAAATAAGTAGTTTTACAAAAGTATAGTATTAGAATATGCTTGTACCTATTAACAAGAAGAAAATTCCTAACGCTGCTCAAATTGAAAGAGTATTGCTAAAAGGATGTTTTCAAAAATTTTGTATATAAAATAGCAATAATGATGATAATACTGTATTTCATCTCACTTGCCACAAAAATAACATTTTATAATCCCTAAAAGTAAAATTGAGAAACCTTTAAGTTTTGTTTCAAGTAATATAATCTATCTTTTGTATAATTCATATTTGGAAATATGACTTTTAATAATGTTCTTCCCACAAATAATCATGCTTTTTCTCTGTGGTTACAGCATTAAACTCTATTTTAAGTTGTATTTGAACTGTATTGTTTTGTTATTTAAGTTTATGTTATTTATAAAAAAAAAAACAACCTTAATAAGCTGTATCTGTTTCATATGCTTTTAATTCTAAAGCAATAACAAAACCGTCTGGCTCAACTACAAGGTTCCCGCCCCCTCCTCCATGACCAATATCAAGTTTAGTACACAGTACTTGGGCCAGCAAATCCTGGATGGCAGACAAAAAAGACAGCCTGCAGCAATTCTTACAATAGATGTCTCACAGGGAACAATACAAAAATGTAAAATATGTTTTGCCACATACCATTGTCAATTACATTGGATGATATAAGTAATATCACTGCACATAAAAGAATTTAAAAATTGTCGAAGTTAGAATATATTTGAGTTCATGAGTAGAAAAGTGCCATATTTTAAAAATATGCATATTTAGAGTTAGTAATTTTTCTAATCTAGAAATTTCTGCCATTCAGAATATTGCCACATTGAAAGTTGTTTTCCTATTAGATGGGAAGAGCACAAAATAGAATAGATAGTTAGGGATTTGAGGACCTGAATATCATGAAGGCTTGAGGTCAGGCTACATACAGGCTTACCAGAAAGATAAGTCCTACTTCATATTTCTTCAATTGGCAGATTTCGGTAGCATTTTATGCATTCACCAATAGGAGGTCAACATTGATCTAAATTAAACTATTGGAATTCTAATCACTGTGATTTTAATTTCAAAATATTTGTCATCAAATCTCTTTATTTTATAGAAATATGCTCTACTAATACATTTACAGGGAAAAGTTACATAAAAAGGCTAAAGCAACAGGAACAGATTAATTTGATCTTCTTGTGGCTCATCTGTATGACCAGGTGACAGGAAACTAGAAAGAATTGCCCTTCCTCAGGTGGGGCACATGCTATGAATGATATTCTGAACTGTCATCTGATTCAAGGGCCTTGCTAGCCAAATGAGCCTTCTGTGGCTGGAGTCTTGTGAAAATACCAAGGGCAGTGGAGAACACATGTTTTTCATATTTGTTTCCTTGGTGCTTAGCAGAGTGTCTATCCATAACCAATTTTTTATATGAATTCATTCGATGTTTGATTAAGGAAAATTCAGAATGAGACTAATCTTACTGGATTTTTAAAATTAGCGGAAACATGATGATCTAGAAATTTGAACAGAAATAGTGTATATACATACATGATATGAACTATGTTAGAACCAAATACTCTTTGTCTATGGATTTATAGTTAGAATCAAATCACACAGAAATGCTGGATTAAACATACCACATTTAGCGGTAAAGCCAATCTGGTAGCGTTTCTAGAAGCAGTTTTAATTCATTGTTTATGCTCTCCTTTTTTTAAAACTTATGCAAATTTTAGAAAATAAAACCTGTACTAAATACACACGTTAGAATTCTAGAATCTTAAAACTGCAAGAGGCCTTAGTCCCTAGTATTCATTTGTAGACCAGGAAAAAGATTGTGATACACCCAAAGTAGCTGGTTAGGTACGGAGCTGTCACAAAAGTCTAGGTCACTTAGCATGTGCTTCACACTCTTATATTAGCTAGTGGTCTCCTTCTTTAAAAAAATTTCTATTGTAATATGATTATGTTTGCATGCAAATGCAACTGATGTTTTGGCAATTCACTTCATACACAATAATTAGTCCATGCTGTGATGATCTGATTCAAAAGGAGAAAAGAAAGAATGCCATTTCCAATCCTGTTTCTTATTTTACTCTAACATGTATTTGCTTACAAAATGAGAGCAGTGTGCAAAATATCCATATAAACAGAGTAACCTTTTAAGTGTTTTGAGAGAGAAAATTGGTTAAATACATAGGTTTCCAAGAATAAGGAAGGAAAAAATTAAATCAAGAATATGAAATGTTAACAAAAGAAGTAATAAAAAGATCCTTTCAATGTAATTAATAAACTAAAATATTTTTATGTAAAAAATGGTCAGCCTAGGGGCGCCTGGGTGGCTTAGTCGGTTAAGCGTCCGACTTTCGCTTAGGTCGTGATCTCGCGGTTCGTGGGTTCGAGCCCCGCGTCGGGCTCTGTGCTGACTGCCAGCTCAGAGCCTGGAGCCTGTTTCAGTCTATGACTCCCTCTCTCTCTGACCCTCCCCTGCTCACGCTGTCTCTCTCTCTCTCCTAGAAATAAATAAAACATTTAAAAAAAAAAAAAATGGTCAGCCTTCCAGTTGACTAAAAATTGACCTAACGATAAAAGAGAAGGGATACTGGAGATAAATTCTTAGTTTCTATCTCTTAGAGTTTGTTCCTCTGATTCTCTAGAGTGACAAAAAACATACAGATGGACTACAGGACCAGCTGTAATAAAAGCAATTCTGTAACCACAAATAAATAAAATCAGTGTCTCTCAAAATTTTCTACTGAAATCCCAACAGTAGTAAAAGTAAAGAATGAGAGTCTAAGGAATAATGCAAAGGTAGCACACAAAATTTCTTAAAAATCTTTTTTCTCTTAAAACTCATGGGATTTTTGCATTTTAATCCATAATACTTTTGGGTTTGCTCTAATATAAAATTCACATGAGTAAGCAAAAGTGATACATCAGGAAGAAGTACAAGGTTTGTCATGCAGCCTCATTTACACCACTACCCTACTGCCATGTACTTGAGTATGAGTCAGACACAAGAAATCCTGTAGCTCTCATTATCCACCATTATGCACAGATGGCACATGGCTACAGAAAACCAAAACTTCATCTAATGTTCACTATGAATAGAAGTGATACTAAAAATATTAATTGCCAGAATGAGTGGTTACTGGTGAATTAGAAAATGTCACTGATCTATCAGAAAAGATGCAGGCCACTGTGCATGACTTGTGGGTACCAGATGATTATCAGCCATGATCATTTCTATGCTCACTCTAAAACAGTTTTCAGAGAATATCTATTTATTGGTTTCTATGGTTCAAGTTATTCATTTGCATCTTAATATGAAATAGTTCATTAAAACTTGTAACTGTTTCAGTATCATTGTCAGGCTACTCTTTATTCTACTTCTATATTTATTGAACAAAGCTGCTGCTTCTAGTGAGGCTGGTGTTCCTTCAGGCCCACATGTGTTCCCACTCATCCTCTAACTTTGAATAGTTTAAGAAAATTCACTTTCTCTCAGGTTGAGGAGACATGGCAAGACGCAAGAAATTATAAAGTCCTGATTTCTTACCCAAATCCCTGTATTTACTCTTCTCTGAGAAGATGCCGCTTATATTTTCCTTTTACTTCCTGATAATTATGTGGTTCCCATTTCCAAATAATCATCATTGAATTTATGAGAACCTAGGCAAATTCATTTTCTTTAATATCATCAGAACTTTTGAAATATCATCAGAACAATTCTGAAATATCATCAGAACAACTGAAATATGAGATGAATAGCAACACTTAGCTTGAAGATGGCAGGACTTTCTCTTGACAAATCTAGCCACATGTTAGTTATATGTTATATAACAAATTATCCTAAAACTTAGTGGTTTAGAACAGCAAATATTTATTATCTCATAATTTATGTGATCAGGAACATGGATATGGTTTAGCCAGGTGTCTCTAGGTAGAGTCTCTCAGAAGGCTACAATCAAGATTTCACCAGAACTGTGGACATCTATTATCTCAAAGTTCAACTTAGAATGGGATCCACCCCAGGTCCTTGACGAGAACCTGAGGTCCTCACTGGTTGCTGGCTCAAAACATCACATGAAACTTTTCTTTCTTTCTTTTTTTTTTTTTTACCATTTCTTTATTTTTGAAAGACCGGACACAAGCAGGAGAGGGGCAGAGAGAGAAGGGGATACAGAATTCCAAACAGGCTCTAGCACAGAGCCTGATGCGGGGCTTGAACCCACAAACTGGGAGATCATGACCTGAACCACATGAACCTTTTCACAGCACTATTTAAAACACCGCAGTTTGTTTCCCACAGAGCAAGGAATCAGAGACTGAGTGAGTGCCCAAAATGGAAGTCACAGTATTTTTATATATAACCTAATCTTGAAAGTGATTTCAAGATTTTCTGCCTATATACAAGGGAAAGGAATTACACAAAGGCTTAAGTACCCAAAAGTAGGGATCATTGAAGGCCATCTTAAAGGCTGCTTAATCAAATAATAAATGAGATGTTTTAAGGTTCCTGCCACAAGACAGGATCCTTTAGGGCCTAATAAAGAGTATTTCATGGCTTTCCTTGGTGAGCCATTCAGCAGAGAAACATAAAGCAGGCATATTCTCTGAGGCA